ATATATTAGTGTATTATAATTATTGATGCATAAATGTGTTCATCACTTTAAAGGTGAACCTATATATTACATCATACTTTATTAGTTGATTAATAATCTGAGTCTGCAAAGTAATCTGTTGAGTAGAAGTACTACATAGGAGAAAATGGAAGTATTCCAGTTAAGTACAAGTATGTCACAGTTGTACTTCTACTTTCCAGTATTTGTGTTCGTGCTGTAAGACCTCAGTTTAAATCAATAATGACTACAGCTGAAGTTATTCGTTTATTAATCGATAAGTCGACAGACCTTTCTTCTGATGATTAAAAAACAAAACATCTGACTTCACTCAAACTGTCAATAAATAAATAAATAAATGTCACCAGAGCAGCAGGACTGAAGATGTTCAGGTAGAGACAATCTTCACTGGAGGAAGAAGACTCTTCATCACCTGGCTGGATACAACTGGGACTGAAGGACAGAGAGACAGAGAGAGTGAGAGAGAGAGAGAGTGAGAGAGAGAGAGAGTGAGAGAGAGAGAGGGAGAGAGAGAGTGAGAGAGAGAGAGAGTGAGAGAGAGAGAGGGAGAGAGAGAGAGAGAGAGAGAGTGAGAGAGAGAGAGAGAGAGAGAGAGAGAGAGAGAGAGAGAGAGAGAGAGAGAGAGAGAGAGAGAGAGAGAGAGAGAGAGAGAGAGAGAGAGAGAGAGAGAGAGAGAGAGAGAGAGAGAGAGAGAGTGAGAGAGAGAGAGTGAGAGAGTGAGAGAGAGAGAGGGAGAGAGAGAGTGAGAGAGAGAGAGAGAGTGAGAGAGAGAGAGTGAGTGAGAGGTATATATAGTATATATATAATATATATAATAGATATATATAATATATATTATATATATTATATATCTATATATAATATATATATAATATATATATCTATATATTATATATACATATATATATATATATACAGTATATACATACATACATACATATACATACATATATACATATATATATATATATATATATATATATATATATGTAGATACATTATATAATATATATATATATATATATACAGTATATATATATAGACATTATATAGTATATATATATATATGTAGTAACTCACCGTGGTTTGGTGGCGTCCCAGCTTCCCGTCCAATTGGCCGGCTGAGCTGCTTTAAAACGGAGCGATCCTATTGGAGGACGAGCGTACGGGACCCCCAGGAACTGAACCACCGACTTCCTGTCTGAGCCCAGGGCCGTTTCCACGACATCGCCCTGCAGGGTCCCGTGACCCGGGACGGAGACGGACGGAACCGATGGCAACCGCTCTGAAGAGCAAAACAAACCCCCAAAAATGAAGTGACCTGCGATTGGCTGTTGATCGGTAGCTCTTCTCTGTGATTGGCTTACCCGTCCTCAGGTACACCTGGGGGGCGGGCTCTCTGATGAGCAGTCTGCAGGAGGAGGAGGCGGGGCTGGACAAGCCGGGGGCAGAGCTTAAACCACAGGCCGTGGTGTCAGGGTAGAGGACGCAGCGGGTGGCGGACCCCGCCTCGCTGAGCGACACGGCAACGCAGGACTCCGCCTCCTGACAGGCTGTGAAACAGGAAGTAGAAGATGACGTCACAGTGACGAAGAGGAAACGACATTACTAAACTGTCTGTTAGCAGTGGTTACCATGGAGACACCAGTCCCTGGTCTTGTCCCCATCAGCGGCGATGTCACGACTCACGTGGATAACATCATACGTGGAGACAGACGGGTCGACGAGGACTGATGAGTCAGTGAGGAGACGCCACCGGTCCAGAGACACTGAGACACAAATACTACAAGTATTGGTTATCAGTAACAGTAGTAGTTTATAAGTAGTACTGACAGTAGCACTGTTACTAGTTGGAGCTGTGGGCAGATGTAACAATCAGGAACAGTAGCAGTACTTGTACTTCATTACTTATACATTTATTTATTATTAATAGTACAGGTAGTACTTGTAACGATAATAGTTGCAGCTGTAGTACTGTAGTAATGGCGGTAAACATAGTAGCAGTAGTAATAGTAGTTTATTAGTAGTACTTGTAGCGTTAGTAGTAGCTATTGTAGTATTAGCAATAGTATTAGCAGTAGTAGTAGTTGTTGTTGTAGCCGCAGCACTAGTTGTAGCAGTAGCAGTAGTAATAGCAATAGTAGCAGTAGTAGTAGTAGTAGCAGTAGTAGTAGTAGCAGTATTAGCAGTAGAAGCAGCAGTAATAGTAGTAGTAGTAGCAGTATTAGCAGTAGTAGAAGTATTAGTAGCAGAAGTGACGATGGTAGTTGTAGTTTTGTAGTTTTTCAGTCTGACCGTTGTTTGTGGTTGTTGGCAGGTTGAACGGAGGACAGAGAGCCGGAGAAGAACTCCACTGATTCACTGGAAACACAAACACGTCTGATCACACACTTCAACCGTGTATGTGTATGTGTGTATTTATACATGCTCGTAGTGTGTGTACTTGTATTCAGTACCAGGTTTCTGGTACCAGCCGAAGGGGTCCGGTGTGGTCTTCACTGCAGACGGTGAGCAGTCCTGAGTCCTCCAGGTCGTCATGACGTCATCACCACAAGTCTGAACCCCGAGACTGATGAGAGACACACACACCACGTCCAGACCAGCTGAGACACACACACACACACACAGACACACAGAGACACAGAGACACACACACAGAGACACACACACATAGACACAGACACACGCACACACACACACAGACACAGACACACACCCAACATATTATATTTGTTTGTAATATTTACATTATTAAACTGTTATTTATTATGATGGGTTCAGTATTTCACAGAAATACATTTAATGTTAAAACCATTGGTTACCATGGTTACCTGGTGATTTGGTGTCCCGGACGAAGCCGATGCCACGGCAACAAGGATCCTCATCACAGCGCCGCTCACACTCCATGAACCTACACACACACACACACACACACACACACATACACACACACACACACGTGTGTGAGTGTCTGTGTGTGTGTGTCTGTGTGTCTCTGTGTCTATGTGTGTGTGTGTGAGTGTCTGTGTGTGTGTGTCTGTGTGTCTCTGTGTCTATGTGTGTGTGTGTGAGTGTCTGTGTGTGTGTGTGTCTGTGTGTCTCTGTGTGTGTGTGTGTGTGTGTGTGTTTGTTACCCCTCAGACAGTGGTGTGTTCTCTCTCAGACTGACTCGGCTGCGTACGGAGTAAGAAACCATCTTCTGGAAGGAAACTCTCTCGTAGAAACTCTTCACCGGTCCAGACAGATCCACTGAAAACACACAGACAGAACCTGAAGACCAGAGTCCAGAGACCTGAACCTGAAGACCAGAGTCCAGAGACCTGAATCTGGAGAACAGAGTCCAGAGACCTGAACCTGAAGACCAGAGTCCAGAGACCTGAATCTGAAGACCAGAGTCCAGAGACCTGAATCTGGAGAACAGAGTCCAGAGACCTGAACCTGAAGACCAGAGTCCAGAGACCTGAACCTGTAGAACAGTGTCCAGAGACCTGAACCTAAACCTGAAGACCAGAATCCAGAGACCTGAACCTGTAGAACAGTGTCCAGAGACCTGAACCTAAACCTGGAGAACAGAGTCCAGAGACCTGAACCTGGAGAACAGAGTCCAGAGACCTGAACCCGTAGAACAGTGTCCAGAGACCTGAACCTGAAGACCTGAACGCTCTTCTCTGGATCTTTAGGGTCCTGGTCTCCCTTTATGTTACATTCATTTCTCAGTTTGAACGCCCTTGATTCCTTTCCTCAACTCCTCCTGTCTTAAGCTCCGTTCACTCTGTGAGCGTGAACGGAGACGTTTGTATTCTCTGAAACACCAGAGAGAGAACAAACAAGATGAACTGTGAAGAATCAAGAAGAGCTCCACTCCTCAGACGAGCATCCTCTCTCCTTGAGATGTATTTCAGGAATCGAGGAGAGAAGAGGCTCACGTTAGAGAGAGGAGGAGGAGGAGAGAGTTTACCCTTCTTGCTGTAGGTGTTGTTGGCCGGTCTGTCCAGCAGGAGGCGACATGGTCTCCTCAGAGGTTTGTCATACGCTCCACACACTCTGCTGTCTGAATACAACGAGCAGCTGAAGAAACCTGCTGAGTCGGCGTCTCTGAGGTCAGCGATGGAGCAGAGCTGCTCTACATCACAGCCTGAAAACACAAACACAGTATTATCTACTCGATATCTTCACTGGGTACAAGTACAACTAGTCCACAAGCTCGTACGTGACGTACGTGTGAGACACCAGAGCAGTGCCTGCTGGGAGTTGTAGTTGTTCCTGTTGAGCCAGAAGGAGAGCGTGGGGAGTTTCCTGTGAGGATCCACGAGGACGTCGTCCTCCGACAGAGACTCAAACTTCATCTGCACTGAAACTATACAAATACACAGAATATTCACAGAATATACACAGTATAAATACCTGTATCAACTCTGTATTAGAGCGGCAACCAGTGCTGGAAAGTAACTGAGTACATTTACTCAAGTACAGCACTTTCCTACTGCCTACCTACAGATACTTTACTGATTGAGTTTTACACAACAAACATATAGAGTTTAAATCTGATGTTTAGTTCAATTCAATTCTCAACAGTTTACAGAAGTAGAGCTGAAACCATCAGTCCTTTAATCAATCAGTCATTTAATCAATCAGTCCTTTAATCAATTAGTCCTTTAATCAATTAGTCCTTTAATCAATTAGTCCTTTAATCAATTAGTCATTTAATCAATCAGTCCTTTAATCAATTAGCCCTTCAATCAATTTGTCCTTTAATCAATTAGTCCTTTAATCAATTAGTCCTTTAATCAATTAGTCCATTAATCAAATGTTCCTTTAATCAATTAGTCCTTCAATCAATTAGTCATTTAATCAATTAGTCCATTCATAAATTAGTCCATTAATCAATTAGTCCATTAATCAATTAGTTCATTAATCAATTAGTCCTTTAATGAATTAGTCCTTTAATCAATTAGTCCTTTAATCAATTAGTCCTTTAATCAATTAGTCCTTTAATCAATTAGTCATTTAATCAATTAGTCCATTCATAAATTAGTCCATTAATCAATTAGTCCATTAATCAATTAGTCCATTAATCAAATGTTCCATTAATCAATTAGCCCTTCAAATCAATTTGTCCTTTAATCAAATAATTGACAGAGAACGAATTTAAAAACAATTAAACGTATTTTTTGTGTTCGGTATTAGTAACTTTACTGTAATACAATATTTCTACAGTGAGGTATTAGTATTGTTACTGTTACAGAGTACTTGTATAGTATTAGTGGTATTAGTACTGTTACTGTAACAGAGTACTTGTGTAGTATTAGTGGTATTAGTACTGTTACTGTAACAGAGTACTTGTGTAGTATTTGTGGTATTAGTATTGTTACTGTAACAGAGTACTTGTGTAGTATTAGTGGTATTAGTATTGTTACTGTAACAGAGTACTTGTGTAGTATTAGTGGTATTAGTACTGTTACTGTAACAGAGTACTTGTGTAGTATTAGTGGTATTAGTACTGTTACTGTAACAGAGTACTTGTGTAGTATTAGTGGTATTAGTACATGGAGGAGCAGGTGTGAGTTCTGAAGGAATACGAACCGTCTAGAGGAGGACTGAGTTCTGCTGCTGCACAGGAAGTAGAACCAGAACCTCCAGCTGCTGAATCAGCATCTGACAAACAACAACAGTGAGAAACAACGACCACACTAATGTCAGCTGAGCCGCGGGGCCGTCATCACTACTAAAGTCCATGAACATGAGTTTACCTGTGTTCAGGTAGACGGCCTGGAAGCTGACGATGGAAGCCTGGTAGTCCTTCTTCTTCTTACTGTCGGCCGGAAGAGACGAATCAGCTGGAGGACCAAACAACGAAGTAAACATCAGAACCATGAAGACCTTTGATCCTCAGTGAACGTTCAGAGTGGCGTTATAGGAAGCGCACGTTCTCACTGAGACGTCACCGATTGGTTTGTTTACTAAAGTTTTGAAGCCTCGAGTTCGGCATTTTCAACATCGCCATCTTGTGTTTTTGCAACCAGATACGAGAGGGTGGAGCTAAGATCAGTAGAATGATTTTTATGATTTATGATGATTTTTTATGGGCAGCATCCCCTGCTTTATGGTCTGTGTGACTCTAAATGGACCATAAT